TATAGGTGGAAACACCAGTCAGAAGACAGCTAGAAAAGTGAGGAGAAAAGTGAGAAAAGTGAGGGACTAAAGTGGAATCAATGGAAATAAGACAGTCAATTATAGAAAAGGGATGGAGTTTTCAAATAAAAATCCAGCACCATGTTGTGTTCTGTTGTCCGACCACTGTATAACTGAAGCCATTAAATACATGGATATTAAAACAATGTATAATAAGAAATGAATTGCTATTAGTATAATAGAAATTATCATTAGTTCAACGTTCTGTATTAGTTCAAAGTTCTGTATTATTTAGAGCAGTCACTTCCTTTTTAGTTATGTGAAAAGGCATCTTTTATTTCTTCTGATATTGAATTTGTCTAAAACACAGAAGTAAACCAGGGAGGTGTGTAGATGTGAGACTATTTTTTTTTAATGTTAGACATTTATAAATGTACACGAAGATATAAACTTTAGCTCATAATCTAAATTTGATGAGACCACAAAGGGTCTTCTAATCAATTCTTCTGCTCTCAGGAATAAATACCTTCAAAATGTATCCAGATCTATAGTTGTATGTTGTATTTGTGAAGATCCTGATGGTGAGACTTTTGAGTGAGGGCAGTATAATGGGTTCTGGATGGTTCAAATCACAATTCTTAAGGTTTTCAGTTTAGACTAAACCTGTGTATTCAATATTATTGTAACCTCTACCAGTTATTCCTATTAATTAGATACTAATCAGTAATTAAACACTATTTTTCTTTTACTTTTTCTAGGGACTTGTCCTGCAATAAGATAGAATTTATTGAAAAGAATGCATTTGATTCATTACCTCTTTTACAATATATGTAAGTTATAAATATAACCTCATTGTGTTTAGGAATTTCATAAAACATAATTGTAAACCTTTTTGTTATTTATTTTGAAGTAAGATTAAAATTTTATTACTAGAAAACTACTAAATTTATGTAGAAAATCCCATTTGTCTCTAGCATAGATTAGTGTGAGAATTCTGTCACATTCCGAATGAACCATTCTATCTGCACAGCAAAAGAAACCATCAACAAAACAACAAGAAAGCCCAGTGCATGGGAGAACATATTTGCCAATGATTTTTCCAATAAGGGTATAATCTCCAAAATTTACAGAGAACTCATACAGCTTAACAAAAGGAAGATAAATAATCCAACAAAAATGGGCAACGGGTCTAAATAGACACTTTTTGAAAGAGGACATACAGAACGTCCAGAGACATATGAAAACATGTTCAAAGTCACTAATCATCAGAGAGATGCAACTCAAAACAATAATGAGATAACATTTCAGACCAATCAGAGTGGCTATCATCAACAAATCAACAAATGATAAGTACTGGTGAGAATGTGGAGAAAAAGGAACCCTCCTGCACTGCTGGTGGGAATGCAGACTGGTGTAGCCACTGTGGAAGACAGTATGGACTTTCCTCAAAAAGTTAAAAACAGAATGAACCATTCTATAGCAGTGGTTCTCAACCAGGGTGATTTTGCACCAGGTGACACTTGGCAATAGCCAAAGAGAGTTGTAGTTGTCAGAACTGTAGATTTGCTACTGGCATCTAGTGGCAGAGGCCAGAATTATTGTTCAAGGCAAAGGACAGTTCCCCATAATAAAGAATTATCTAGCCCCAAATGTCAGTAGTGTTGAGGTTGTGTAGCCTTATTTCAGAGAAATATAGATCAGTTTAATAGAAGCATTTTTTTTTGTATCTAATGCACCACATGTATAAACATAAAAGCATAAACCATAAGCAAATATCTCCCATAGTAAGAATTTTAGTGTATAGAGGGAGTATTGAGGTTGTTTTATCATATATAAATTAGAATCTCTGCTAAAGGATAAGTGATCTGAAAGAATTTTTTTCTCTTCTTTTGCTCTTGTCTTTTTTTTAATAGAAATCTTGGTTGCAATTTAATCACCAAAGTGAACTTTGGAACATTTCAGACCTGGCATGGAATGCAGCTGTTACACAAGTTGTAAGTGAAATAGAAGATGAACACATGTAAAAAGCTATGTGTAAAAACTTCATACAGTGATTGGTTGGCTGGGTATAAGCTCAGTTTGAACTCGAGAAGAATGGCTTAAGAGCCATTCTTTTTTTTTTCTTTTTTAAATGAGGAAACTAAGGTACAAAGTGTCCAAGAGACTTGTTTAACTGACATATGCCATGCTCTGCTTTCCCAGAACTGACCTTTGGCATGGGCTTGTTTGTTTTCAAGAATTGAGGGGGGAGGGTGGTAATACTGAATTGAGAGGAAAATTTATTTCAGCACTGGGAATAAAAGTTTGTGTCAATTAAGAAATTTATTTATTTGATTGATATGTAATCAAAATATTATTTATTTTTAAACAAACATCCATTAAATTCCTAGTAAATGTCAGGCACTAATAGTCCAAGAAATTGACAAGTAAATAGGTGATTACATACACTATAAGAAAGCCAGTGATGCAAGAATACACATGGGAGTATGTGATGGGAGCATGGCTTTCACCAGTTCCTTTTACATCTATCCCATTTGTGGCTCCAAAAGCAAGGAATTAGGTCTATTTTTCTATTTAACTTGATGGTTTACACTGGATTTTAAAAAATTTCTGGAGATGAAAGAAAAGCACCTTGAATTATGAGGACATTGGAAATGGTATTTCCTTGCCCTGTCCGGCTTTGCTCAGTGGATAGAGCATTGGCCTGGGGACTGAAGGGTCCCAGTTTAAATACTGGCCAAGGGCACATGCCTGGGTTGCAGGCTTGATCCCCAGTAGGCGGTGTGCAGGAGGCAGCATTTCAATGATTCTCTCATCATTGATGTTTCTATCTCTCTCTCTCTCCCTTCCTCTCTGAAATGAATAAAGAAATATTGAAAAAAAGAAAAAAGAAATGGTATTTTCTGTAGAGCAGGAGCTTCCTATCAGCATAGTCACTAATGGGGTTTTCAATCTGAAAGGTTCTTCAGTATATTTTTCTTTGCTATCCACTTCTTTCTTCTTCTTTTTTTTTTACTTTCTCTTCTGCACTTTATCATTCAGAGACTTGGGTAGTTCCCCAATTAAGAATCCTTTGTAGCCCTGGCCTGTGTTATACAGTGGTTGGAGCATTGGCCCGTACAAAAAGGGATTCTGGGTTCAATACCAGGTCAAGGGCACATAGCTGAGTTGTAGGTTCTATTTCTGGCCCTCATTGGGTCATGTGGTGGAGGCAACCAACCCATGTGTCTCTCTCACATCGATGTGTTGTTGTTGCTTTTTTGTCTCTCTCTCTCACTCTCTCTAAAAAAAGAAGTGGAAAAAATATCTTCAGGTGAGATTAACAACAACAAAAGAGAATGCTTTACAGATTCTAAGGGTGATCTCTGGGAATAGACCAAAAATGATTTTTTTAACCTTCACGTTTTGAACCAACAAAATGAATATAAACTTTCATAGCAGTTATTAAAAATGCAGACAATTTTAATTCTATTGCATTTTCCAGAATTCTACATGAAAATCCTCTGATGACTGTTCAAGACCCATATCTTTTTAATTTGCCAGCATTGAAATATTTGTAAGTATTGCAACAATTTCATGGCTCATGAGATGATTTCTGTTCTTACTTTTGTCAAAGAAGAACAATTTTGCATTTTGAGAAAAAACTCATAATTTAAATTTTAACTGGGTTATTCTCTTTTTTTTTATTAAATCTTTATTGTTCAGATTACATTTGTTCCTCTTTTTTCCCCCCCCATAACTCCCCTCCTCCCAGTTCCCGCCCCACCCTCCGCCCTCACTCCCCACCCACTGTCCTCATCCATAGGTGCACGATTTTTGTCCAGTCTCTTCTCACATCTCCCATTCCCCTTTCCCCCCCAAGAATAGTCAGTCCATTCCCTTTCTATGTCCCTGATTCATTATAATCACCAGTTCATTCTGTACATCAGATTATTTATTCACTTGATTCTTAGATTCACTTGTTGATAGATGCATGTTTGTTGTTCACAATTTGTATCTTTACCTCTTTTCTTCTTCCTCTTCTTAAAGGATACCTTTCAGCATTTCGTATAATACTGGTTTAGTGGTGATGAACTCCTTTAGCTTTTCCTTATCTGTGAAGCTCTTTATCTGACCTTCAATTCTGAATGATAGCTTTGCTGGATAAAGTACTCTTGGTTGTAGGTTCTTGGTATTCATCACTTTGAATATTTCTTGCCATTCCCTTCTGGCCTGCAAAGTTTCTGTTGAGAAATCAGCTGACAGTCGTATGGGTATTCCCTTGTAGGTAATTGAGTCTCTTTCTCTTGCTGCTTTTAAGATTCTCTCTTTGTCTTTTGCTCTTGGCATTTTAATTATGATGTGTCTTGGTGTGGTCCTCTTTGGATTCCTTTTGTTTGGGGTTCTCTGCGCTTCTTGGACCTGTAAGTCCATTTCTTTCACCAGGTGGGGGAAGTTTTCTGCCATTATTTCTTCAAATAGGTTTTCAATATCTTGCTGTCTCTCATCTTCTGGCACTCCTATAATTCTGATATTAGTGCGCTTGAAGCTGTCCCAGAGGCTCCTTACACTATCTTCGTATTTTCGGATTCTTTTTTCATTTTGCTTTTCCACCTGGGTGTTTTTTGCTTCTTCGTATTTCAAATCTTTGGCTTGATTCTTGTGCTCCTCTGGTCTGCTATTGGGTTTAATATTCTTTATTTCAGTCCGTGTATGCTTAATTTCTAGTTTCTTTATCATAGCATCGAGGGTCTCATTAGTTTTCGTGAGGCTCTCCTCAAGTTTATTGCAAGCCCTCAAAATTGCGTTTTTTAGCTCTATATCCTCCATTTCTGTCATGTTTTTTTGTCTCCGCATTTTTTATGCTTTCTTGGTGCACCCCCTTGTGGTCTTTGTGCGCAGTCTTGTTCTAGTTAAGCCTTGATTGTTGTAGTTAATACTAGAGGGATTTGACCACCAGGCCGACTGGCTGTGAGAGTCAGCTGTGTGGAAAACTTCTGTCCTCTGGGGAGGTGCTAATCTAGCCTTGCCTGAGGCGATCTGGCAAATGCTCTGCACAGGGCTTGGGCGGGGCGGGATCAG